AAAGCAACAATATGATTTAGAGATTAGACTCATTTTAAAATATTCCACTACTATCATTGTTTTCAAGAGACTATGATTGAATAAAATATTTAAATATTTATGAGACAATTTTTTTATTTTTGGGTAATTCATATTAATTGAGTTATAACAAAATAACCTTTTGAATGATTGATAAATTAGTCGTTAGATTAGTTGACTAATCAAAAAAATCGTCATATGAATCGATTAAAAAATAATCATTAGGTGCAGCCCTACAAGTAGTCTCTTACACAGACGCCGATGACATCAGCACGCTGGCTGACTTTGTCGTCTGTGGACACTCCCATAGGAAAGATGTAATAGAACTAGTGCCGGCTCCCAGAGGCAGTGATGTGATTGGATCCAAATCCGTGTACTTCCATACTTCCTCGACCAACAGCTGATTAGCTTTGCCTTACACCCACCTACACAGAAATTGCTGTTCCCCAAATTGTTATCCGTAGTACAACAGAAAAGGAAGTGTTCAGTGCATCGCAAGAAGAGATTAAAATGAATATGATTTCATTTGATTCAGCTGCAGAGCTGCAACGTCCACAAGATTGGAGAAATTAAGGATTTACAGCGCGCCGTACCTATGGCAACGCCGTCACGTGGTCTGGATATCCCCGCCCATTTCTATAACAAAACGAAAAAGGAATGTCCCCAGACTCCCATTTCGAAGTAAGGGACGCTGGTCACGCGAGACTACCCTACAAGTGGCCTGCTCTCAGCCAGACAGTTTTTCTGTGAGTGGTTATGAATGTAGCAGGAAAAATATCTGCAAGTGTGTGGTGACTTTGAGGAATGGAGTGAGCAGGCCACCGTAGCTGGGTGTACAGACGGATCCTATTTTTATTTTTGCGTGACTTTACCTCTGCTCTTTCCTGGGACACCTGTTTCCTCTCGACAGTAGCAGACTTCTTCTTGTTGAAGTGAAACTGAGTGTCCTCTTTGGCCTTCAGCAGGGCCTCTTTCTTCTTATTGTACTCTGCAGCGTACTCATTGGACTGACTGATGGTCTCAAACATCTTGGTCCTCTCCTTTGGGTCCTTCAGAGCGATGGACTCCACTGCCCCCTGGTGAAAAACATCGGGACCAACACACTTGTTTGTAAGGCATTATAACAACCAGTCATTATAAATGCTCACAGTCACACCTGATTGTTCTTTAGTTTCACAAACTGGGTCACAGAGCTTATCATTCATACAGCTGTAGGTCTCCTCACTATGAAAACTGTCTCAGCAAAACAGCATAAATATTTTGGGTATATATCAGGGCTGCACAATTAGAACTTACACCTTCACATTTAAACTCACCCAACACTGCTTTCACTGCTGATTAATAAATCTTTAAGACTTTAATAAGGTTCTTCTTCACCTGAACTCAGTGAATCTCCTAGAAGTTAAATACACTGTATAAATTAAAGTGTTTATTAAACACATATCTTCGACCAAATGGAATTTGATTGTTATTTCAGGTCATCTCTAAAATGTAGATATATACAGTGATGCGCTGTACAGTGTTGCTGATGCTGAAAAAAGGATGGGTTATGGTAGCAGGGTAATAAAAGATTTTGAATACCAGTTAGTTTTACAAGCAGGTAAAGTGTAACGACGCCCTGTCTGCAACAAAGAAAATTCGCCTGCAAGAACACAATGTCCAGAAGAAGCTTAAATAGTTGTGGCTTTCTGGAGGATTTGCTGAGTATCATGAGTATGAGTATCATCACCAATTGTTCTAACAGCGTTTACCTGGAACACAAGACAGTTTTGAGCTTTGGTCACAATGCCGATCTTCTTCAGCTCCTCTGTGTATTTGGCCAGAGTGACACGCACCCCGTTGATGTGAAACTCAGAGGAGTCACCTGAAAAATGCAATAAACAGCAGTTATGACAGCACCTGATATATATCAGACCTCTGCAAATAAAACTGCTGTTCATCCTTCTATATGATACTAACGGGGACACCTGGTGAAATATTTCTTTCTTTCTTTTTCGACTGTCTAAAATCTCTTTGATTAAAGTAGAATTGAAAATAAAAGCATTTAAATTCTGCAGACCTTTCATTTCAATATCATGACTTTTGTTATTATTACCCTTTCTAGGAATGGATTAGAATCTCTTTGTGTTAATGCATTTATACAGATCCTGTTTTTTTCATCAGCTGTCTAACTATCAACTGTATTTCGGGCCCATGTGTGTGAATATATATAACAAAAAAATGTCATTTCACCATGCAGGGTTAATAAAGTTCACCTCCTTCCTCCAACTTCTTCATGCACCAAAATGACCAAACCAAATGGCCTGTGTGACGTTATTATGATGACTACATTACTTGGATTAATGGTTATGAATTCATGAATCAGGGCCAGAACAACAGTCATGACTGAGGAGCAGGTCTGACTTTACTGTGGAGCTGGAAGCTCATCTTTACAGCTTTATCCCCCATCACCTGCCCCCCATTGAAACAAACACCTGTGGCTTCCTCAACAGTAAACTACACACCTGTAAATATTATGTACAACTAAGCTCATTAAACTGACCTACTATGGTCCGGCAGAAGGCCGTCTCCTGGTCCTCATCGTCGCAGTACAGCATGGCGACGCGCGCGGTGTCCTGCACCGGCCGCCCGATGTGGGCTCCGTGTATCAGGTCCCGGAGGTGCTTCACCCGGAGAGACGCAGCCCGCTCCCCCATGACAAAGCTCAGGGCGTCCATCACATTGGACTTACCTACAGAGTTTTAACACCTGTAACTTGTCTCTGAATAACTACATTAACATGTAACTTCCAAGCTAACACCCAGCTAACCTACATTTTAAAGAGCCTAATTCATTACTTAAAATATATAATTTACACAAAACAGAGATGCTCTAGTTTTTATATTGCCTACAACAATATATCCAGTTATTAGTTAATATTTCAAATTCGTAAAAAGGGGGATATGTAAAAATTTGTCCAAGAATTAGCCCAGTTAAAAGTAGGGAAGCTAACGTACTTTAGCTAACTAGCTCAATTCAACTAAGCTAGCTAGCTTGTTAGCATCGCCAGCTAACGTTAGCTCGTTAGCTAGAGAGTTAGCAACCGTTATACAAAAGACTTACCGGAGCCGTTTGTACCAATTATACAGTTAAACCTCATGAACGGACCGACAACTTTCTTCCCTCGCCATGACTTGAAGTTTTCAATATCGATTTGTTTCAGATATCCCATTTTAATCCCAGTCAGTGGAGTTAATCAGGCAGCTAATTAATGTGTCAGAGGAAAAGTCAGCTAATCAAAGGAGGCGACAACTAGAGGCGGGAAGACAACTTGTTCCTCTTTAGAGGCACAAAACATATTTTACTTGTTTCTCCACCTTTGTAACTTATATCAGTTCATGTGCTATATTTATCTGTAGTTAAACATACAACAACCGAAGTAATAATAATATTAGGACAGTGTAAAGGTGTAGTTATGAGTGAAAAATTTACTTGTCTTGTATTTGCTCAAAATACACTTAGGGACTGTTCATTGTCAATGGGGGGGGGGGGCATGTAAAAACAGATTCTGTATAAACAGTTTCTGTAAAAACAGAAATTACTGTTGGATTTTTAAATATCTGATGGCTCCTCAGACATCGCAGCGACGAATTCTTCTGTCAGAAAAAAAAACAAATCTCAAGTCTGATCTTAAAATAGTGATATTTCATCAAAATCACTTTATTCTACATCTCATGTAACACTTGGCCAAAAATAAACCGTTTGCACGACAAGCGTGAAAAACTGAGCCATTTTTCAACTCCAGGATTTCACCTTCAACTAATTTCTGAATAATACATTTGCAGTGTTGGAGGCAGGAGGGGTCTTTCCAAGCCAAAGCTGCAGGTTTGCTGCCCTCTCCCACAAACCTGCAGCTTTGGCTTGGAAAAGACCCCTCCTGCCCCCTGTGTACGACCCCAGCAACGCTCAAACACATCCTGGTTGGCTGTAGGACCAGCTTCACTCAAGGCAGATACACTTGGAGACACAACCAGGTCCTCAGGTGTCTAGCTGACAAACTTGAGTGTAAGAGGGTATTCATCAACGCCCAACCCTTCAACAACCAGGATGCGCGCCGACACCCACCGTCGTTTGTTAAGGAGGGAGACAAGCTGAGGACCCACCCCTCAACCCCTGATCTGGGCCCACTGAATGCAGCCAGGGACTGGCAGTTTAGAGTTGACTTGGATCAGAGGCTCATTTTCCCCCCGGAGATCGCGACAACCACCCTGAGACCAGACCTCGTCCTTTGGTCTAATTCCTCCCAGCTTGTTTACATCATTGAACTGACAGTCCCCTGGGAGGACGCCATGGAAGAAGCGTATGAGTGCAAGAAGCTGCGGTACTCCATCTTAGCAGCTGAGGCAGAGGACAGAGGCTGGAAAGTAAAGGTGCACCCGGTGGAGGTGGGGTGCAGGGGATTTGTAGCCAGTACAACAGCAAAGCTCCTTAGGGAGGTTGGAGTCAGGGGACAGACTCACAGACAGGCCATTAAAGAGATGGCCAGCACCGCTGAGAGGACGAGTCATTGGCTGTGGTTGAAGAGAAACGACACCATCTGGGCCGCTAAGGCAAACAGCTAACCCCGGGACACACACCCAGGCTTGATCAACCTGTGGTGGGCCTGCCTCAGTGGAGGGTGTCTTGTGTTGAATGGCCAAAACACCTGTCGGTGCTGAGGTACACAACTGACAATGTGTCCCGGCGGTAAAGCCTCATAGCAGCCATCTTTCAAGAACTTCCCATGAACAAGAAGTGGTGCTATAAGAGGGACTGCAACATCTAGTCCTTTCAACGAACAAGTTAAATGTTATGTAATTAGATCACAAAATAACTGTGATTGTAATCAGTTACACGTAACGAGAAAAAATATGTAACTGAAAAGAAATGCCAGGTGTTACATCTCAATTAGTTGACCTGGTATAACAGCTGAACACATTAAGACAAACAGACAGACACAAGGAGGCTGTTCATGACTTTATTGGTCGATATTAAAGTCAGACGTCACACATCAGCCTAGAAAACTGTTTTGAGTGTTAGCTGATATCAAAGTTTCTCTTCCCTCCGTGGGTCACAGCGATCAATAAGGATGATCACGAACATACTCCATGATGTGTTTCAGAGCCAGCCAGGTCTCAGTGGCCGTGGGGAGGATCTGATTGGCTGGCAGGATGAAACCATAGCGACCAGTGTCCCTCAGCTCAAAGGCAAAGGAGTATTTGATGCCCACGTCGTATGACCAGTCGATGCTGCCGCCGCTGGCTTGATCTGAGAGGAGGAGAGGAGAGAGGAAGGTGAGGACACAACGGCAGCCACTTGTTGAACAACATTTGAGTTTTAAAAAGCTGATAACACATCAGCTGGTGTTCAGTGATTTACATGAACACATTAAATAGAAATGAGTCCTGGAATTCTCAAAAAACTGTGATCAGACACAGATGCTGAGCAGGACGTTTGACAGTCGGAAGATAAATCTGTCAGTGCTCTCTGATGGATGTTTACAGATGGATTACTATTGTCTGATATACTGACACTAGTAGCTGGTATCAGTGACAGCAGCTGTATAATCATGATGTTTTTTTAGAGGAAGTGAAATAAATAATTCTTTACCTAAGTTACTGTATTTACTGTGAGCCCATCGGTTCATTATTATTTATCATGATTACAACAACACATTTCAGCCATTTGAGGTGAATCTGAATTTAAGATGCAGTGAAGTTAAATGGACAAAAAGAGAAAAAATAAAGTTACTCACAGATGATTTTACAGATACTTCCAACCTTGTACTGGGTGCCATAGAGAGAAGTGAGTTTCTGCACTGCTGCTCTGCCAACTGAGTCCTGCAGGGACGACAAGGACAAATGACTGTAGTTAAAGTCGAGCCTTTAATTAAGTAAAAGTAACAACACCATGCTGTGAAAGTACTCTACTGCATTGAGTTCCAGTGTGTCAGCCCAGTGATACAAGAAAATGTGGTCCAAAAAGCAGTTGTTCTTTTACCAAGAAGTTGCTGTGTTTCCTGCTGCGATAGTTGCCTGAGAAGCAGTTGTTTATTAGCGAGACACTGCTGCTCTTCCTGCTGGGATTGTGCCCCCAAAATGCAGTACTTTAAGCCAAAACATGATCTTTTCCCAACCATCACCAAGCACCTCAGCACTGTTGATGATAAAGTGCACGACTAACAGATCTGTGGTTTGCAGAAATGTTTGATGCCAACATTTTTTTGTGTGACTGGGTTGAATATGCAAGAAAACTGGAAGCAGTTTGTCTGAAACAGAGGATTCCTGTCTGACTTCAGGGAGATCACTTGTCATATGAAGTACTGATGAGTTTATAATTGGTCGATTCATCAATCCAGGAGCAAATAATTTAGATTTTCAGTAATAAAGCCTGAATAAGATAAGACAGTGTAACCCTGAGTAGAACAGCTGAGACTGTTAGAGATGTCAGGAGGAAGGATATTGGTTTTTTAAATCATTACGGTTATTGAAGAGAACACAGACAGACGTTTCCATATCAGCTTGTAATAAAATTTAGCTGCCTCGCTGTGTGATTCTCCTGTGTGAGAGCAACTTTGTTTCCTGAGAGGAAAAAGGTGTCAGATTTAATTAACCCTTTGTGTTTCTCCGTCCTTACCAGCTCCGGCTGATGGGCCACATTCTTGCAGGAGTAGCCGTGGGGGTACATGAGCAGCTGGGAGTAGGCGTGGACGGAGATGAAGGACTTGAAGTTTCCGTGGCTTTTGATCAGGTTCACCACGTTCTTCACCTCGATCTCAGAGTGAGCCGAGGGGCCGTGGTAAGATTCAGAGCAGGGGTTCCTGCTGGCACCGGGGCCTGGAGCGAGAATACAACATGACCATTAACACTGTTAAGTTATTCAACACAAAGCAGCAGAGGCATTTCCTGTGTGCTTCTATACCGACCAGCAAAGCCTGCATCCCAGTTCCTGTTGGGGTCGACTCCGCGGCACCTGGAGCCTGGGTTCTCGGAGCGGGTCTTGCGCCACATACGGTCCTGAACATCACACAGTTTCACCTCAGTCAAGCACATAAAGTATGTTTATGGTTTTTTTTTTTTAGGGTCTAAACTGTAAAGCATATCAATTACAACTTCCTCTCAAATATTCACCTGACAAGTAAAATGTCACAAAACCTGGAAAACAAGAAGTAAGATCAAACATGTTTCAGGGTTTAAAAGTCCATCATGTGTCCACTGACTGACAGAGACACACCTTAGAGTGTGTGTAAGCGTAGCCATCAGGGTTGGCCAGGAGCAGCATGTAAATGTCCATGGTGTTCAAGAGGGAGGTCAGGGAGGTGTCCTTACCATAGTCAGTGGCAATCTGTAAACAACAGCAACAACAACAACAAGGCTTTTATTTTGTAGGAGTGACATTCTCAACAGTAAATTTTTTAAGTGTACAAAACACTCTTTCATGTCTTCGTCTGCAGGTAACAACATCCACAAACAAAGAACTAAATAAAATAAAGAAGAAAAAATCCTTATTTTATCCAACATTTAAAACCCCCAAAATATTCAATTTAAAATGAAAAATGACCAAAAAAACACAATAAGACTTTTTAAAATGTTCTTTTTTCTTGAAATATGACTGAAATGATTCATCAGTGTTAAAAAAAATCAAATTTTCTGTTACTTCAGCTCTTATTATGAGACAAATGCCTAAAGGATCTTTTTCTTACAGTCTCTGCAGGAGATCAAAGAAATTTCAATTGAATCTATAACTGAATCTATCACTGTGTTGCTCAGCCTCGTGGACATGTCTTACCTTGTTGGCTGTCCACAGTCCAGTGGCCGGAGACACCCACTCTCTGGAGTGGATCCCCGTATCGATCCAGATGGCGGGACGCTTGTTTCCTCCGGTGCTGAACTAAAACACGTCGACAGAGTTCAAACTGCTGCTGATAAGACTCTGACTGTAGGTGCAATGTGTGTGTGTGAGCTACATGTCGTACCTTGAGCACATACATGGGTCTGTTCTCATACGACCTCCCGATCTCCTGCTTGGAGACCAGATTAGGATACTGAGCCACCAGAGTGTCCATCCAGCTGTAGATCTGTGAGGAGGACGAGTTATAACACAGGCACAGGAGGAAGGTGAGATACTGAATAGAGATACTTACCCATCTGCACCAAAGGTTCGATCATTAATAATTAAAGGCCAGTATTTTAAAACATACTGTGAGCAGAGGAAACACCATGTGCTGAATCAAATACAATAATGATTAAAAAGCAAAATATATCTGGTGTTTTTTATTTGTCATCCTCAACTTTAGTTAACCAACGAGCTGAGCTGATGTCAGACTGACTCTAAGATGGTTTTAATCACTGTGCCACACTGTGTCTGCTCATAAAACAAATACATTTCATATACTTGGCTGTTAATCGACTAATCAACTAACTGACAGAATAAAAAACCTGTGAAAAAACAGATAAGAGGTAGTGACAACTTCAACAATGTTGTCTTCATGTTGTGGCTCTGACAGGAGAGCTGTGCATTTACTCACGTAGTTCAGTACTTTACTTGAGGTGATTCTACTCTGTTACATTTTGGAGGCAAATATTTGACTTTTCACTGTACTCCACTTAATTGAAAGTTTTACTAGATACTTTACAGAGTCAGATTATTCATACAAAATATAAAACCAACTAATAAATGATGACGTTCATAATGCCTTGAATATGAGTGCTGCCATCTTGTGCTTTTGGAGCCAGACTCTACACAGTAGTGACCACAAAGTGAAGCAGCAGTGTAAAGTTTCCGCCCATGAGTCTGTCCAACCAATCCTGAGCAGTGTCATTGATCATGAGCACACTGATTGGCTCACACAGCTGTCAATCATGATACCGACCTTCCTCTTAACAGCATGAAATAACAAATTCAAACTTATCAGAAAAGCGAACCCATGAACAAACATCAGTGTGATGAAAATGACCTAAAATGACAGAAACCATGTTTGGGAAAAATATATTTGAGTTTTCAGTTTGGCTCATGTCCCATCTGTGACCTTATGACCTATACTGTAGCCAGCCACCAGGGATCAGCTGTCATGTCGTCCTTTATATACAGTCATTAAAAATATATATAAAATAAATAAAATTAGCTCCAAATTTATCAGCTGCAACATTAAAGTTAAGCGTACAATAATCTATCAATGATTATTATCCAGAAATATAACGTACATTATTCTGAAATGTGTCATTCTGCATCATGAGAACTTTTACTTTTGGTACTTGAAGTATATGTTGATAACTGAATTTCTTTTTACCAAACTAAGAGCAAATCCAGAACTTTTAGTTGTGACAGTATTTCTACAGCACACTGTGGTGTAACTACTTAGATACTTGTGGTATTCTTTCCACGCCTGTGTGTTTGTCATTAATCAATACTGTGGTGTGAATCTGATATGAAGCTGAGATGAGTTATAACAAGGTGTGTGTGATGAAGGTGTGTGTCTCATGTGTAACTCGAGCGTACTGTCTCCAGATGATGATAAGCTCCGAAGTTAAAGCTCCTGCTGCTGCGCTCCTTCAACTCATTCTGCATCATCTCAGCTTTCTCCTCATCCAGAAGCTCCTGAATGTGTCGTACAGAAAAACACAAATTAATTTTGTCCCTTCAGTCTTAAAATCAGGACACAGGAACTCTTGATGCCTCGACTCTTCTGGTGCACAGGTGTTTCATTATCAGAGTGTGTGTTAATGACTGACTGTGTACCTGCAGGTTGTTGATGAGGACAGAGTATGGGATGTTGTGGGCGTTGAGGTACTCCGTCACAAAGCTGAAACTGGAGCGTGGCACTCGGATGTCCACAGGGAGCTCAGTGGAGACCGGGTGGAGCCAGAAGTCCAGCTGGGATCAGACAGGAAATGATGTGACATCACAGACTGGACTCTAATCATTTATCTTCAGATATGAACTCATGGCTCCAGTTTTAGTTTTAGGCTCCGTTCATCAGCTCACAGAGTGTTATTGACCTGTGGACCACTTCTGTATCTGTACGTATCATTAGCTCCTCTGTACCTGCTGACTCCACCTGAGTTTACATACTGTGATGCAGTGTGTCACCTCGCTGTAAGGTTTAAAGTGGTGCAGTATTATTGTCGGTGCTGTTTTCTCAAAGATAACTGGATCGCTCTCTGTTTTCCTCACAGCCTCGTAACGACCAACGACACATGACACGCTGCATTTTGTTTCTCACAGTGACTTCAGTTGTTCCACCATCTGTCATTTCCACTGCTGAGGCTAGTTACTGACCTGGGTTTAGCTACGACAGGAAAACTTCCTTTGTGTAGTAAATCCAGCCTTCATTTTTCTGCGAGATGGTACCAGGTGGCAGACACACCTGCTTAGTGAAACCGAGGCTGATATGCAGATGGTGTCATTATTCTGCAGCCATTACATTGTCACATTACTTCCTAATGATGAGCTACAGCAAAAACTGTCCTCTGTGTTTCTTTGTCTCTTTTAACAACTTGTTCTTCTTTTTTTGTTTCTTGTTTTGTGACTGAGAGAAAAGTTCAAGTATTGCAACGTGCCTGTGCTCAGTATCTGTGCAAATGGCAAATAAAGCTTCTTGAACTTGAACCATCATAATGCAATCTTTATCAAACCCACTTTTATAACTTTTATATTATATATATTACAGAAGTTTGAAGAGGCCAAAAGACATCGAGTCAAAGTTTTTAGACGTGCATTAATTTACGTTGTGGAGGAGCAGAAATATTTAATAAATAGAATAAAATAAGAGGAGAGGTTAATCTCTGGGTTTATTTCTGTATCAGAGGGCGCAGCAGAAACATGAGCCAGGCCTCTGACACTTAATGACGTTCTGACTCTGTTAACCTTCAACCTGTTAAACTGTCAGGAGGATCATCTCACGCTGAACTCGACTCGTACTTCAGGGGAAGTTCATGAGGAACTGTTTGGAACAAGCAGCTGAGAAAACTGGTACGTAGGTGTTTGTACTGTACACAGTCATTATGCGTGTGTGTGTGTGTGTGTGTGTGTGTGTGTGTGTGTACCTCCCCCTCCTGCTGCATCTCCAGAGCCTGCAGCAGTTGGATCTGTTCCTCTGTCTCTGCATTGACCCTGATGACCTGATCTCTGGAAGAAGAAGAAATTAATTTCACAGTCTGAGCGTCATTATTTACATTTCATGTTTTCAGCTGATGCTCTTCCTTACCTCAATGTGCTGTACTCCAGGAGGATTTAATTCACTGCTCAGCGATATATAAAAAGTATTTAATTGTGCAGAACAGTCGGTGCCTGGACTCGTGGCTCCCACTGTGTTCCCGTTAATACGACTGTAATTATGATTTAATCCTCCTCTAAACAAAAAGTGGAATCATTTTCTGCCCACTGAATACAAATGTTCTTTCTCAACTCTGACAGTTATGTGACGTGCTGATTATGAGGCATCCAAGGGAGGAAAAAATCCACCTCATCAAGTCTCTAAACACTTTTATTTAACAAGGAGGACTGAGTGTTCTCCTGAATTAACTCCACACTGAGTTAATGGACCTGAACGTGTTGGTGTGAAATTTAATGTCCAAATGAAGATTATTCTGGTATCATAGTTTATTTGTTAGTTAATGTACTTCATAACTCCAGACACAGTCTTAATGTTTCACTGTGTTCATATAAAAACACAGAAGCACCTGCACAGCTTCTACTCTGCATCCAAGTAAGATTTGGTTTATTAATATTTCCTGAGACAAAACACTCAATAAATAAAGTTAAAGACGAATTTCACTGATAGATTTTTCTCAGATTTTGTATATAAACCATGATTCTGTTGTTATTGTCCCGGCCCTACTGAAGAGTAAAGTATTGAAACCCTGTGCAGGCTTTAAATGTACAGTTACACTTAGTGTCCAGTTTATTAGGTACACCTTGCTAAGTGAAAGCACTCTGATGTAACAGCCCTGCAATAAATCCTCCTTCATAAAGGTTATAATGTTCAGTTTTAAAAAGGTGTTGATTTAACTTCATGATCATTTCAGAGGCTGTGGTTCTGTTGAATTGTACGACATTATACTGATATGTGTTTCTATTTTTTTGTCCACCCCATTTACATAACTGAGGGCTGAATAACAGTTCTCTGAATCAGTTAAAAAACAACCACTATAACCTTCATGAACAGAGGGATATCTGCATGAGACTGCATATTTTCAACCAGGTGTACCTAATAAAATGGACACTGAGTGTATAATAAGTATTTTGACGACCCCTGTGTTTGTCACAACCAAAACCAAGCCATGGATTCCAACATAAAAGCTAAAGCATAGAATAAAAGCAGAGACAGATGAACTCACCCAATAAAAACCCTCTCAGCTGTGGCCACAGCCACGAGCACCAGCAGCAGCCAGAGGCCTCTCATCATGTCTGAACGTTCGGACTGTCGACGGACCACCAGACTGTTGGACCTCAGCTCCTGTAGTCTCTTATTCCCATAAGGTGACAGGTGGTGTGTTCCCAGCTTCCTCACTTTGCTGATAATCACTCAGCCCTCCTGTCTGGAACAAAGTTATTCTGAGTCACAGACGTGCTGATCAGGATGTGTTTTATCTGCTCAGAGCTCAGCTGCTGATAGCCACAGCTTTCCCTCAGTTTTTCCTTTACTTCAGTCAACTAGAAAACAGAGGTGTGAGAAGTATTCAGCTTCTGTCGTTAAGTTGAAAATCCCAGTATCACACTGTAAAAATACTGCACGACAAGTTAAAGAACTGTATTCAAAACCTTATTTGAGAAAAAGTGTTATCAACAAAATGTCCCTTAAGAGCTCACAGTGCAGTAAACTGTTTCCTGTCAGTGTTTCATCTTTTTATCCAACATTGTTGGATTAATATTAATGTGTCTGTGTCATGTTCCTGCTGTAGATGTTTCAGGTTGTTCTCATTTCAACTCCTTTATATCAGGAAGTCAGAAAAAAACAGTGACTTTTTCAGCTGATCCAAGACAGGGTATATGCAGGAATCCTGAGGTTAATTTCAATACCTTTTTAAGACTTTTTTAAGACCTTCCAAAAAAACCTTAAGACCTCATCGCCACTTCAAGCTGTCTTTAGCAGCAACGCATCTTTAACTTACTAATCAGTTGTAGTTTGCAGTTAAATATATGGAGCACAAACATACAACAGAACTCAGATAAGATGAGACGGATTTTTTATTGTCTTTTGCTCCTCTGTTTGGCGCCTGGACGTGCGCCGTCTCGTGATGTCACACAGGTACGCGCACAGCCCCGAGTGGCAGTCCGAGTGTGCCTACCTACACATCGTTGTTTGTAATAGTTGCGAGGAGGAAAATAAATTATACATTCATGGATACTTTCTGTCAAAGTTTGAATGCCAAGAAAATTTAATACGTCATAAAATCGCGATTAAGACTTTTTAATACTTTTTAAGGGCCTTAATTTTCTGACATTTGACTGATCAACTTTTAATACTTTTTAAGACCCCGCGGACACCCTGCAAGAAGGTTTAAAAGAGTTTATTTAGCTTGGGGGTTGGGGGTTGGGGGGCACCCTGTATACCCACGCGCACCCTCCACTACACCACTGGATGGTATTATGTATTGGTGTTTATCTGAATGCTGTAAAGGTGCTGCAGAGATTACAACTGAAATATATATATGTATTACAAATATATATAAAAATATGTTAGAAGAGCGTTAAAATACCAACCATGTAGTTTTTAAATGAGAGCTGCAGTTTTTGCTGTGCTCACAAAATTATTGTTATGTAAAGGAACAGTTCACCCAAAAACAGCTGCTGAACAAATAATGTCCTGTGAAGAATTTGTTGTGCACACGTGTCACAGGAAAACTGAAAATACTTTGTTCAGCATAAGTTTAACAAAAACAGCTGAGTCCTCGAATATCAGGCTCAAACTGATGATGGGCCACAGAGCAGACGCCAAACAGGAAGTGGATGAAAAACTGTGATCTGTAAAATAACTAAAGCTGTCAGACAAATGTGGTGGAGTAAAAGTACAATTTTTAAATGTTTTTATTTCCCAGCTGACTCGAATCAATTTTAGTCCTTTAATTTATTGTCTTAAACAAAAAAAATTACTGCGGCTATCCTACTCTAAGTGTGTAAGCACTATATAGGTGTGATATATCATTATTATTATTATTAGTGTTCTTCCAACTTTGTGCCGACAGTTTGAAGAAGACATGTTTCTGTTTTGACGTGACAAACTCAGGTCCATGAAGATACAGCTTTCCCAGTTTGTTGTCAATGAACCTGACTGTAACAGAGTCCTGACCTCAACACCATCACACAGACACAGTCAGACTGGATCATCCAACACCTGTAGCTGATCTCACTGATGATGGGAGCAAATCTCTTCAGGCAGGTTCCAAAATCTGGAGGAAAGTCTGAAACCAGCAGAGCAGCAGATAAATGCACATGGTTCATGAATCACATGTCAGTGTAACGTTCAGGTGTCCACGTACAGTGACATGAAGTACCTTCATGTGCGTACAGCAGCCAGCAGATGGCAGTACATCACCAATCGTCTGTCAGAGGGTCCCACTCAGTGATAACACTCCGACTCATGACTTCACTCAGTGACATCAGATGAAACAGGCTGGAATTACCCTGAATCTTAAATTATTGATCGTACAGAGAAGATTTAAAATAAAAAATCTTCATCAGTGTCAGCAATAGAGTACAAGTGAGTGGAGAGCTTCTTACAGAACCAGAGGTGAAAGGATCGAACTGTTCTTAAGAACTGATTAATCGAGATCTTAATTAAAATTGCTCCATTTCAAGTAATTCAAACATCTCTGAATTCAAAATGTACTTCAGTAAAAATACAAAAGTATTATCAGCAAAATGTATTTAAAGTATCAAAAGTATTCTTTCCATAGAAATGCTCATTTAATAGTGTTATATTAATATGAATTATAATATTATTCTGGTTTTATCATATCTGATACACTCAAGAGCATTTTTATGTTGTATTTAAACAATGTGGAGACAATTCAAGAAACTTTGTACACTGCTGGGTGGATTAGTACGTTAAGACATTAAAAACATATCATGTTTTTTATGTGAAATGAGTCGTAAATGCAGAAGAGACTAAAACTTGATCACACAGAAAGTGTTTCTGCAGCTGGAGGCAGCTTTTTGTTATAGTTTTTAATGAGAATTAAACTTATTTCTCGCTGTGCTTGTGTTGCTACCTGCCACATGTTTCTGTGCTCAAGGTGTCTGGTGTTTTTGCAGGAGCGCTCTCTGAACTGAATGACTCCCATCCTCTGCAGGAGGAGATAAAAGCTCTGGAGAGCTCATTCAGCGATAGACTGATTCACCCAAAGTGTGTGAAGGAACGCTATCGCAGGTCCTTCCTGCCTGCTGCTGTCAGGCTACATAACCAGCACTGCTAACAGTAAACTGCACCATGGACACTTTAGGGACACTATGGACACTTTATAAACACCACAATAAGCATTGTTGTCCCCCATGTTGTTGTTCATTTGCATATTCAATATTCACTTGCACTAAATATTTTCACTTTAATCCATTGCTCACTTTTTATCCACTGCTCGTTATTATTATTATTATTTATTGCTGTTTGTATTTTTTGTACTTTTTTTCTGCATGTCTAGTTTTTTAAATATTGAAATCTTTAATTTGACTCTTTACACTTAACTGCTGTAACACTGGAATTTCTCAATTGTGGGATCAATAAAGGTGTATCTTAGTTAAAAAAAGTTTAAGTCAGAGTCATGCCCGCTCTTTCTCCCATTGTCCAATGGGATGATTTGAGAGGCGGGGCTTCTGTGGTGGTTACAACAACAAGTTTACATTTGGTTGACAATGGAGGAGAAACTGGAGCAAAATGATCGTACACAGACCAGTGGGTGACGTCACGGTGGCTGCTTCCATTATTTTATACAGGACCATGAAAAGGGAATATTCAAGACTGTAGTAAAGGACAGTACTTGAGTAAATGTACTTAGTTACATTCCACCCTGCAAACAAATGACCATTAAACCAACTCCTTGTACTTGCTAATGTAATAAAATGGAGAGTGACCCAGTGGAGCAGACGGCATCATGTCATGACTGCTAGCGAAGGATTCAGGGTTTCGTGTTTGGTTATTTATCCTGAAATCTGCTGGCTGATATCAGACTGTGCATCACACAGCCTCCCAGCTCCCATCAGCTGCTGTGACAACCCGACAAACCCTCCGCCGCTCTCAGAATTAATAAGAAGAGGGTTTTAACGTGTCACTTCCTGTCCTTTTCACTCCCAAACAATCCCATGAGACAATGTGGGAAGGTTGGGGGGGATAACAGGAGCGGGAGGCTACAGGGGACGGGGGAGTTGAGCTGGGGCTTTCCATCTTTCTCAATGTGGAAATTATTTATTGCTTTTCCTGCTGTGTGTGTGTGAGTGTGTGTGTGTGTGTCTAAAAGTTTAATGTCGCCATGAAAAGTGGCTTTACATGCAAATGTGGGTGTAGAGTGTGTGTTTTCCTCCCCTGCCGTTTGCCTCTAAAAGCTATATGAACACGGCGCCCCCGACCGGCCCGTTCCACATGACTTCCTCTGCTGCTCTATAAATAGATCCATTTACATTGCATTTCATGGCTGAGCTGTCTCTCAATATTTCAGAGGCCCACCAGTAAATTGACCATTAATCATTCATCACTCACTTGTTCATCTGTTTTGTACGTAGCATATACGCTTAGATGTTAAAAAGCATTTCGTAAAACACGATAAAACTTTTTAGTGTCTGATATTTTCTGTCGATAAAAGCTGCAGCACGAGAGAGGAGAGATGACGATGGCAGTTTGTGTATGTTGGTCACCTGAGTACGTCGTGCTCGTGTGATTCCTCTGCCCGGACAGTCTGGTGGTCAGATGACAGAGGAGGTAGAAGAAGTCGGTCACCTGTGACTTCCTTGGTGAGGACAGACTCTTTCCTCTGATTGGATTACACTGTCAGATATCTGCCTGTAGTGTCTCCCTGAGTTTCCTTTATGACTCCGTGCTGTAATTTAACTGTTTGGAGCACAAACTTTCCTCCATCCTCAGATTAACTTTCACCAGAACGAGGCGTAACGAGAGCTGGGTGTGAGTGAGGAGGAGACAGAAAAAGTAAAAGTCAGACCTCCAATTTAAAATGCACGGTGACATGTGGCTGAACTTTCTGATCTATTTGGTGCACAGATGCTGTCACCTGCCTCTGGAGCTGAATACTGAACACTGACTGACGCTGTCCAGGCTGAAAGATGCTCTCTGATTCTGACAGTGATGATGATAGTTTAGATTACTGTTACCATAGTTTACACACTGTATCAGTGCTGGTCATATCTTCACAGCTAAGTTTTTCTAACAACATATAAACTGCTACACAGCTCTGCAAATGAAAATTATTCAAATAAAAACCACATACATATACCCATGTATACACTGGCATCAGCTAA